AAAAAAAAAAAAAAAAAAAATATCTATAGTGGGTGGGGTATATGAGTATAAGTGGCAAAATGCTCTCATGCTCTCCTTGCAATCTCGCTCTCTAAAAACATATTGGAAAAAGTCTCAGTCTGGAAGTCACCGGTCTCGGCACCCTCCTGACGTTTGCAAAGAGCGCAATCGTGAGATGGCCCTTGGGGTGCCGATGTAGGTGATTGGGAGATTGTCGTGCGCGAAACTATGCGCTGTGGATCCACTGCACCCACTAATCCACAATAGGAGGAAAAATGATGAAAGTGCTCTTTTGCATACTAACAAGCTGATCGGTGACTGAGCCATAGTGCTCTATGAGGTGCATAAGCTCGTCCAATCAATCATTATCCGCACGAGTGAAGATGATGATGACATCCGTATAAGAGAGGGGCGAGATCGGAGGACCGTAGCCGCTTGTGCTGTAGGTCATCCTCAGGTTATCACGGATGAAGGTGTTAAGGTAGAGAGAAAGGTAGTACGCTGCCAGAACAAAAAACGAGGAGGAGAGGGGATTCCCCTACCGGAGGCCCTGGGAAAAAGGAAAAAAACCGATGGGTCGCCATTAACCAGAACAGAGGCGTGCAAGTTCACCACACACGCCTCCACAAAACTGACCCACCGCTCCGAAAAACCCATCCAGATCAGCACCTCCCTGGGAAATGGCCACTCGAACCTATCATATGCTTTAGCCACGTCTAGCTTCAAAGCAAGTTTCGGGACTCACAACCAATTCGCATGAGAGATGTCATGGATCTCTTCCTGGGCCAAAAGAATGTTATCATTAATGGCTCGCTCCTTGTTGAAACCACTTTGATTTGGAGAGATTTGAGAAGAAATGAGAGGGACAAGCCACCCTTTAAGAATTTTGGAGATAAGCTTGTTGGTCAAACCAAGAGCTCGGACAAGGCCTTTTAGGGATCAGGACGACTGAGGTAGCCGTGAAGGACTCCGGCATCTGGTGGCCAGAGAAGAAATCTACCACAACTTCCTCAACATCACTCTCAGTAAGATCCCAACGGGTCAGGTAAAAGAGAGACGAGAAGCCTTCCTGGCCAGAGACGTTGTTGGGATCAATCCCAAAAACAACCTTCCTAATCTCCACCCTGCTCGGGAGCTCACAAAGGCCAACAAGGTCGACCGACTAAGGGATGGTGGGAAAAGAAGAAGGCATTGACGGCCGTAAGCAAGTTACTGTCTGAGGTGAAGAGATACTGAAAGTGCGCCACGGTCAACTCTCGTATCTAGGACTTCTGAGTCTAGGTTGACCTGTTGTCCTCGATATTATAGATATACGAGTTGACACGCTTCTGCCTCAGAAACCTCTGAAAGTACTTGGTATTATACTCCCCCTCAGCAACCCAACGCACGACAGTCTTCTACTTCAAGAAATCCTCTTCCATAAGAAGTTGGAGCTACAACTCAGCGTGACAGCAGCACATCGCGGTCCTATTCTTTGGAGAGGACTCTAGATCATAAGCTCCGTCAGTATACACACTCTGAGTTGCAGAGAGGCACTGAGAAAGGTCTTCTAAAACATCACAATTCCACTGCTTCAGCTTGCACTGCAATCTTCCGAGCTTGGCCTCCAGGTTGCGCATCCCGAAGCGCCTAGTCGGCTACAGCCATGAGTCCTTAACAGTCTCATGGAAAGTTTGGTGGGGAATCCACATGTCTGAGCGACCGGGCAGGGTCGAAGTCCGGCGAGCGACATGCGAAGGAAGATTTGTTGTCGGTGGCTTTTATCTGCAGCAAGTTGTGACCTCTACTGCAGTGGTACCTAGACCGGTCTTACGCCACGGAAGCGAAGGCGTTGTGGGTGGCGCTAGGTGGGTCGCTGATGGGAAGGTCAGCGGCGGACTGGATCACATGTGTGTCTGCGTGATATGTGTGTATGTAAAGTGTGTGAGAGAAGAGAGTTTGTGGGGTGGTGTGGATGGGACCCACTTGTGAGTGGGGTTTTTTTCTTTTTTGAAACACACTTGTGAGTGGGTTGGTTGGATGAGTAATGATAATGTCAAAATTTATTATATCTCGTTGGATTATCAAAGCTACAATGTATTCTTATTTCTTCCACTTAATCGAACGCATCCCTCTATATATATTGTGATCATCAATTTTCCATCTATACCAATTTTTTGTTAGGTTTTGTTCATATAAGTCTGTATTTTTATAATTTCTGGTCCAACTTATTTTCGAATCAACTTTAAAAAATAAATTAAAAAAAAACCCCCAAAAGTACTTATAGATTTAAATTTTCGAATTATCATAATTGTTGGCCAATCTTTTCCCCAACTTGTATCCATTCTACAACCACATAAGTAGGTTTAATTCACAGCCATCAAACTAAAACATGATTTCTACCAGATATGCAAATTTCATAATATTAAATTGTTCCCTAAAAATTAAAATAATATTTTATTTTGTTGTAGCGACCAACCAAACGCAGATCAATTTTACAGGTAAACCGACAGAAAAACTGTAAACTGTAAAAAAAAAAAAATGTAAATTAAAAATAGAGAACATAGACAAATACAGTACAGACAACACCATAATTTTTTCACAGGAATTTTTTCATCATCAGCCCTGCTCTTTTACTTCATTTCACTTTCTTGCCTTCAAAATGCAGCATTTGCTTTTCTTTTCCTTGCTTCATTTACCCTCAATTTTCAGCTTTTCCTATTAATAACTCAGACTTGGCACCGTTCAAGATTTTGGGCGGTTTTTTTTTTTTTTTTTTTT